CAGGCGCAGGGCCACTGAGCTAAATCCCTGGCCCAGGAAGACACTCATTTTAAAAACATGAAAACATTTCTTTGCTCTTGGAAAATTAAAAAAAAAGTAGCATATTTTATGTACTGAGTTGAGAAGGAAAATGTAATAATTGTCCTGAATGGCTTATGTACCCATTTGTCCTTTTTAAAAGGACAATTTCCCTAGATCACTGACACTATATTATTCAATACTGTAAGTTGTTGGCTGAAAGACAACCTCCTAATGGTCATTATTTATGTCATACAATTCTTACCTTGGAGATAGTACACAGAGGAAAAGAATTCTATTATAATTAAAATATTTACTTGCTCAATTAAAAGCTCAAAGTACTTTGTTTTCTGTCATTATTATTCAACTTAAAAAAGTATTGAGATTGCAAAGATGTATTTTAGTAGCATATTAGGTTGACCCATATGAGATAGCTGTTTATAGGTCAAAATGGTTGAACACAGACATTTTATATGGTTTAGTTTAATAGTACCTTCCTGGCCATTCCCCAGTCAGTAAAATGGGTTATCATACAAGAAAAGCTGTGAGTTCATAAATATGAAAATAGATACTGTCATTCACTTTTCTTACAATTATCTGCTTACCAAAAAGCTAATAATATACAACTTGATGTTGTATAGTCATAATTTTATGCTTATTCTTCTAGAAAGAAAAATCACTGCCAGAATTGAAATGTCACAAAAGGGAGCTAGTATGGCATGTATTGTTTTTTAATTACAGTAAAATGTATATAACATAAAATTTAACATTTTGACCATTTTTAAATAGTGACTCAGTGGCATATGTATATTCACAACACTGTGTAGCCATCACCACCATCTATTTCAGAACTTTTTCATCTTCCAAAACTGAATTTCATACCCTTTAAACAACTTCCTACTCTTCTCTCCTACCTCTATGCCCTGGTAATTATTATTCTACTTTTTGTCTTTGTAAGTTTGATTACCCTAAGTAGCTCATGTAAGTAGAATTATATAATATTTATTATTAGCATGATATCTTTAAGGTTTCACCATGTTGTAGCATGTCAGAATTTCCTTCCCTTTTTTGCTCACACTCCAACTCCAAAAACATTGAGTTTCTCCACTCCCAATCACTTTCCTTCACATCCGAACCACCCCTCAGGAACCTACAGGATACAGTAAATACAAGCTTTTATATGGCCACATCTTTCTGCACAGCCAAACCTCAGACTGGAGGCCAGGTCCATCAAAGACTATCTCCCAGTTCTTCTCTTGACGCTCAGTCTTATGAAGATAACTTTGCTAACAAATTGGTCTTAATTAAAGATTTAAACCTCAGGTCCCAACAGCACAAGTGGACAGAACCCTTCCTGGTCATCTATAGCACCCTGACATCTGTCTACCTATAAGACCTTCTCCAGTGGGTACATCACTTGCAGGTAAAGCTGTGTCCTGCTGAGAAATGGCCTTACCCTTCCCTGTGGAAATCACGAGTAATCTCCCCTATGGCTATCCTGAATTCTGGAAGACACTTAAATCCCCTGCCTCTACCCATCCTGCCACTTCACCCACTTCCCTTATTCAGCTGGCCTTGGTCTTTCGTGGTTTCAGGGCTCTCTTAAAAAATATCTATTTATCTATTTATCTATCTATCTATTAAAGATTGATGGAACACCCTCTGTTTCTACCATGCATTCTCCTGTGGATTTTCCTAATAATCCTGTCATGCTTCAAACCAATTGTCTTCTGCCTTAGGGATGGAATCATTTTATGTTTGCCCTCACGGTAACTAGGTTTCCTTCCTCCTCCCTGCACGCTTTTGTCTGGCTAGCCCTTTTGTTCTTTTTGCTGTACCCCATAGCTGTACCCCTGCCCTTCTCCTGATGGCCCCTAATTATCTCTATAGGATCCTACAGCTAACTCACTCCCTGCTAAACTCATTCCATCCTTCTTTAGACAAAAACTTCTGTCTCTGTATCTCCATGTCTGCAGCCATTTATGCGGCCACTCCAGTCCCTCCCCAGGTCTGGATCTTTACTAACCTCACATACTATCCCCAGTATGAGATAAAAGGCCCACTCCTACTCTTAAACAAAAAGTCCTTGACCAACTTCTCCACCAATAAAATGACCCCCCAAAAAACAAAAAACAAACAAACAAAAACAAAAAAACCCTCAGACAGGATGTGCAGCCTGACTCCTTCAGTTCTATATCACTAACCTCTCCTTATATGAGGGGGCTCAACAAAGCCCAAACTTGGCTCCTAACTACTGATACTAGTCTGACCTTCTAAGCGCCCGTCTGCATTCAGTGTAATCTGTCCTGTGGTATACCACTAGGACACCTACCCCTCCCCCCACCATTGATGTAACTGTGTTACTGTTACTGGCTCCAGCCAGCCATGCCAATTACCAAGTCACTCAGGATTCCCCATTCATTCAGCCTGGCCACTTTTCCGGCCTTCCTAAGGTTACAACAACATCACTGCTCAATAAACAGTCAGATTTTTGTAGCAGCTGTCATTTCCCATGCATGACTGTGCATCCATGGACCTCTTGTCACCAATCTCCCATTTGCTCAGAATGCCTCCCCTTGCCTACCTTTAACCACTCCTAACAATGGCTTTTAATAGATACCAAAAGATTCCTCTTCCAATGGGAGGACAGAGCAGTAAATGACAGCAACATCCCCCATTTGGTGTTCTTCCAACCTCTGATGGGAGCTGCCCTGTTAGGTATTCTGGGAATTTGAGAATATGAAAACAAAAAGCTCTCACACCTATTTAGCATCCACAACCATTCTGATTACCCAGCCAAGGTGTTTTTGTTTTCCTTTGTGGGAATTCCACTTATTTATGCCGACCCACTAACTGGGCTGGCACTTGCACACTGACACACCTCAGCTCCCAAACAGACATTACTCCAGGGGAATCAAATCAGAGCCTTCCTGTCACCATTAGAGCCCTGATCTAACATGCAGGAGCCTAATAATGGTACACCTGCTTATTGGTCTGGGTATTGTCACTGCCACAGGGACAGAAATAGCAGGTCTAGCCATCTCCCTGACCTATTATGATACTCTTTCCAAAGATCTCTCTGATAGCTTCAAGGAAATAACTCCATTCTTACCTTACAGAACCAGCTAGACTCCCTGGCAATAGTAGCCCTCCAAAATCATAGGGACCTAGATCTTCTCACAGCTGAAAAAGGCAGCCTATGTATCTTCCTAGGAGAAGAATGTTGCTTTTGTATCAGTTAGAGTACAAGATGCAGCAAAAAAGCTAAATGACAAGGCTGCAGAAATTGGACAATGAATGACCAGTATCAGGAACTGGGCCCCATGGCTCCTTCTATTAACTGGGCCTATTATCTGTATTCTCCTCTTCCTCCTCTTTGGACCATGCCTCCTCAGGGTTCTTTCACAATTCCTACAAAATCAAGTTCAGGCTATCACCAATTAGTCAATGCAACAAATCCTTGCTCTGATCACCTCCTTGTACCTTCCCATCCCAAAGAACTCTCTCCTGCTTGTGAGGCAGGTGGTGGAACCACTGAGCTAAATCCCCAGCCTGGAAACTTTTTTACATTCTAATGTGACTAAGGATATGATGTCTGTGGTAAAATTTTTATTGAATTTGTACTTTTTTAGCCCAAAGCAAAACAAGGAAAATCTGCTGTCAGATCTTCCCTAACACAGTGAGAAATGAAGCTTTCAATCAAAATTTATGTGATAACTAAGACAAGAAAAATATTACTAGTAACTTCAGTTACTGATGAAAAGAGCTATTTTTGAAGTTATAGTCTACAAAAGAAAGGTGTACTGTTTATCAACAAATACCTGATAATTAATCATTAAGGAAGTATTACCTTTAGCCAACTTTTTACAATGAGAAAGCTTACTGTATCCATTCTCTGTATCATTCAGATGGGTCATCAATGAGTTTAGAGGATACAAGTTTGGTTAACATTTAAATGATCGTCTAGAATTTACCATGGATCTTTCTTGGACAGAGTTGCTTTTAAAAACCATGTAAATTAGACAACAGAAATTTGTGTTTTTGCATTTCTGGTTTTGGGGATTGAACCTAGGGCTTTGTGCATGCTAACCAAGTTCTCTAGAGCTGCACATTTGCCACAGAAGTGTTATTTTACACTTCCTAGAGTTTTCTCATAATGTTTTTATTAGTAGAGGTTATTGATAACTCTAATAACAAACCCACTATTCTGTCAAGGAAGTGTGTAGGTGGTGGTGGGGTGTCCCTGGTGTCCCTGTATTTTAAAAGATTGAGTAGGTTATTCAGTATACCCTTTGTATAAGTATAAAGTGAAATACTTAAATCTGTAAGATTTGCCAAAATCTATAAAAATATGAGAACTGTAAATATAAAACTGAAGGCTGAAATGTTCTTCAGTTGACATGCTACCAAAAAGTAAGGACAACTTATTTGTTTATCACCCAAGGTAGTTCCTTAGAAATTGGTGAAAATTGAGTCAAAATTGGTTTTTCTGCATCTTTTTTTGGGGGGGTGCTAAGGATTGAACTCAAGGTTTTTCTTTTCCCTAGAAATACAAAACAAAGTTTATTGTTTCTCAGAAGACTAGCTAGGTACAGTTCATGTCCTAACCTAGGACCTTAAACATGCTAAAGAAGCATTCTACCGAGTCTGCATCCTTTTTAAAAAAACAATCTAACATTTTAAAGGTTTCTAAACCAGGCACTGGATTATTTTCTTTCTTTTTTTTTTCCAGTACTGGGGCCACTGAGCTACATCCCTGGCCCTCTTTGCTTTTGGTGCCAGGACTCAAACCTGGGACCTTGCACCTACAAGGCAGGAGGCAGCACCAGTGAGTTAAATCCCCAGCCCCAGCAGTCTCATTTTTGAAAGAACAATGAAGCATCTTGGAAAATCAGGATTAAGCTAATCTGACAAGACTGAAAAAGATTTCAAGAAAAACCAGTAAATATAAAGGCACTATAGGATATAATGAAAAGATATACCTTCTGGGCTGTGACCGGCATTCCTCTTCCCCACTGTCTGCCTCCTGTATAGAGAGAAAATGAAAATTAAATTAAATTAATTAAAATGAAAATGAAAATTATACTGAAGTCTCATATCACAATATTATTAGTGGAATTTTACTAAGCTTTAGATGTGGGAATATCTCATTCATATTGTTATGCATTTAAAAGAAAGTCTCTTCATAAAAGGTGATTTCTACAAACCCAGGAGGTCGATAACAATAAAATTTATTCCTAGAGGAAACAAGAGCAACAACAATTCACATAGATTTCATTGATAACAAAGTGCTACTCATTGAAACAATCACTTCTGAAAACTAACTGAACACATTATGCTACTTCAACTTTAACATGAGTGGGAATTCTGAGTACCACTAACAAATCTCATCAAGATGCCCTAGGAGGCCAATCCCCAAAGAACAATCTAAACAATGAGCACCACTTCTGTCTCCTCTGACCAAATCACCAACATCATCAACATAATGATTATCACTTACTGAGTACTTACAACATGCCAAGCAGTGTGTACAGCACTTTAAGTACATTATCCTACTTATTCTACATAAACTTGGAGGGTAGATGATATGTACCATATGTTTGACTTGAATATACACATAATAAAGAACAAATCAATGTAAAAATAAAACATTGAATTACACTTTAAGTACAATTTTTCTTTTCCTCCTTCCCTTACTCTGTTTCCCAGTCACCAAGAGGTGGGTAGCTTTCCTCTGCCATATTGCTCTGCTTTACAACAGGCCCTTAATATTGGAGCCAGCCAACTATGGACTGAAATCTCTAAATCCATGAGCCAAAATAAAAATTTCCTCGTTTAAATTGATTTTTCTCAGGTATTTTGTAATAGCAACATAAAGTTAACACAGTCTAAGTGAAGGTGGCGCCTGTCCTTGCTACACAGTACTACCATAGATCAGCTGTCAATTTTTATGCCAGTACCATACTATCTCAATGTTTGTACTTTACAGAAAGTTTTGAAATATAAATCCCTTAAGTGTTTTTCTTTTTCAAGCTTGCTTCATCTCTAGTAAGATTACTGATCTTCATGTGTACTTTTTCTGATATTAATATAGCTACTCTAGACTTATGTTCATTGATTGAAAACATATTTCAAAATTTCTTTATATCTTTAAAGAATGTCTCTTGTAGACAAAATATAATTGGATCGTATTTCACCTTATCCACTGTGACAATATTTGCCTTTTAATTTTAGTGTTTCTTCTATAACTTCTAATGTCATTACTGATATAGTTGGATTTGAGTCTACTATGCCACTATTATTTTCAGTTTGCCTCTTGTATTTTTATTTTTCTGTTCTTCTACTGGCTTCTTTTGTATTACTTCTTAGAATTTCATTTTAATTTACCTATTGGTTTGCATTATTTTTATTCCCTCATTAAAAAATTACGCATCTATATTCTTACTATATTACTCAGTTTTGATCATTTGGGGACTTTTAAAATTTGTACTATACTATGTATTACCTTCCCAATGTGCTTTTAAAAAAACTAAACATTATACTAACAAAATTAATCCACTTATTACCTATAATTTTTTACTAAAGAATTTTTACTGGAGAATCCATAGATTCTATTTATATGAATGTATCAAAGATTATTCTTTCTCTTTAGATAGTGAAGTTGGGCATTCTTTCATATGTTTATGGGCTACAACAAGTTTCATACATTTGCTCTCATTCCTAAAATGAGCATACCAAAAGAAAGAGATTTTCAATTGATTTCAGCTCTTTGGTGGATTTTTCTATTAATGAAAATTATGATGGCAGTAAAGAAGTGAAAACCATTAATACCACTGATGCTTCCTTACAGGGCACAAACAGCCCAAACCATTTATGTGTACAGGGGTGAACTAACATTTGCTAAGTGCCATTACAAGTCAAGTACTTTGTATGTTACTTTATTTAATGTATACTGCAACCCTATGGAATCTAGACAAATCTAAAGTGATAAAGTCAGCATTTAAACCAAGGAAGTCTCCCTAGCCACTATAACTGCCTCTACACTAAAAATCTGATTGTATATTCTAAGTTGGAAGGTGGGCGAGAGCTGAAGAAGAAAGCATATCTTTTCATAATAAAATAATATCCTTCTCACATTTTCTCTCTGACTTCACAGGTAAATGTTTTGCTAAAAATAAATAAATAAAATGTAGGTTTTGCTTAAAAAAAAGTGCTGAAAGAGTGGGAACAAATAAGTGTTTCTAACACAAGATACCTAAATACAGTAACCTTTTTCTTAATGTTTCAATAGTCAGGCAAATGAATAATTTGCTTCCCTTTCAATTTACATGGAACAATAAACATAAGGGGGAGGAAGAGTGAGGAAGCACTTTATATATCAAGGTATTTACTGGTATTAGGGTAGAGTGGATTTAAAAAAATGAAGAAAATGTTTAAGTTTATTTCATTAGAATTCAATGTCAGAAATGCAAAGATACAACAATGCTTATTCAGTGAAAATATCAGGTAGTAGAGTTATCTTGAATGTTCAAATGATAGCTGAAGAATGCTTACAATTCTAACAAGTGCAGACACAAGGTATAAACACCTACTTTTTTAAATAACTTCACACATTGTTACTGAAAATGCCAAAGAGTTAGCTTTTCACAATATTAGAAATTACCAGGAGAAAAAAATGTAGGGTTAGCTTTTAGTTTCTTAGTGAATGCAATAATTTCTGATATGTATTATTAGTCATGAATTAAATGACTAAAAACATTTCGTTGACTTTCCTATAGTCTCATTTCCATAGTGCTATTGTTAAATATTTTTTATTTAAAGTGTGTAGTATTTATTAATTTGACCAAGAAATAATATCATTTGACATCCTAGATGCACATTTAACTTTAAGATGTTTAGGAACCATTGAGTATTAATTGGAAGATTGATGAACTATTATTTTTTAATTTTTAAAAATTTTTACTTACATTTTATTTGCTAGAATTAGGTAACATGTCCATACCCAGCACAATCAATAGGAAAGCAAAAAGTAACTTAGAACAATCATAATTCTTTCCTTGTAGCTAGGAATAAAACAATGGTTGCTAGCAAATAAGTGGGAAATTGCTGCCACAGGGTAGCCAAAATCATTTGCCACAGCTCCATGATGAACTATTATTAATCTGCTTAATACCTGAGCATAAGTAGGTTACTAAGTACAAGATTCGCTTGGAGATAACTGGCTGTGCATTTTCAGTTAGTGAGGATTATATGCTAGTTACATTTCAGCATTAGCAGAATATAAGAATTGTTTTTATTGCTCAGGAGGGAATCTAAGACTAAGATCTGGAAGTAATAACTTAGGCTTTCTTTTTACTTTAAAGGATCATTCACTTTCTCTCATTTATATAGCCATCATTCATTGTTCACTAACTGACTATCATGTTTTAGTGCTACATACCAGGGATTAAATGTAAATAAAACTTCTTATCCTTGGATAGTTCACATGGCAATGGATAGTTCCATAAACAGAAATTGTAATGATATGCCGTTTAGGATATAGCAGAAATGTGCAAAATGCTATAGAAGAAACAGGAGGAAACTGGGGTTGGGAAATGCTTCACAGGAGTTAATTTTTAGGCTGAGCTTGAACTAGTGGGTTTTTGTGAGATGGAAAGTAAAAGGAAGAGTATGCATTTCAGGCAGAAGGCTACTGCAAGGGGCAGAAATGCTAGTGCGAGAGTTTGATAAATTGGGGAACAGTGAGTAGTTGTGGATTGCTGGAGCAAAGGTAGAGATTTTAGCTTGTTATGGTGAAGCTATCAAGCAATACTGCTGTTATAACTCTATAACAGGTATTGTGAGAAAACAGTTCGATAGGAAAGATAGCTGTAAATTAACCATTAAGTAGATATCAGATTATCCACCAGTCATTTCTGCTGTTGGAAATAAATAATCAGATGGTCTTTTGTCTTTTCTAAGAGGAGGTATGAGCTTCTAACCCACAAAAGATAGTGTTGTGCTTCTGGCTTTTTTTTTTTTTTTTTTTTAGATAGACTCTTACTATGTTTCAGGCCAGCCTTAACTTGCTGTGTAGCCTAGGGTAGCCTTGAAACTGTGGCCCTTCCTCATCCTCCCAAGTGCTGGGACTACAGGCATGCTGCTTCTGAAAATGAGCAGATATAAAACACAAAAATAATTTTGTTTTTGCAAACAAAAGTTAAGGCACCTTTCCTAACACTTTGCTGACTGTAAGAGAAGGCTTAGATCTGCTCCTAGAAACAAAGAAGATGAAGATGGAACCTGTTGATTGGGTTATCCATTGTTTTATAACAAATTACTACTTCATTATAGTTTATGATTTTGTGGGCCAGGAATTCAAGCAGTGATTAGCTGAGGAATTGATTCTTTAGTCTTATTTGGTATTGCCAAAAGTAATTCAATGCTATTCAGGTGCTAACAAATGTGCTAGTATGGAGGATCCAAGGAGCTTCTATTCATGTCTGTTGTCTTAACCTGGACGGTTGAAAAGCTGAGATCAACTGGAAATGTCAAATGGAATGATAAATTTGATCTCTAATATGACTTGTGCCTCCTCAAAATATGGTGGTAGCCTTAGAGTTGGTCTTCTTGCATAGTGGCTCAGGCTAGACTTGGAAATGTCATAACATAATTTCTCTCATATTCTATTGATGTACTGAAGGCCAGCCCAGATTCCATAGGAGAGGAATTAGATTCCACTTCTCAGAGGAAGAAATAGCAAAGAATTCACCAAACCAGTGACTATCTGATTAAAAATATACAGGTAAGATGAATAGGAAACAAAAAAGGCAGTTAAGGAAACAGAATTTTCTAAAGGCTAGGTGCCTAGAGATATTCAGAAAAGTAAAGGAGCTGACTCTCAGGTCCCTGGAAGGTATGCCAAAAGGCCACAGGAATAATTTTATAAATTAATGTTTATTAGCAAGCTCTCATTCAGATACTAAGGATGAGAAAGGACCTGCAAGTGTGGCAGTAGAACCATAATATTGTCAAGGGCCATACTGA